CAGGGAGGGCTCCAGATCCCCAGTTAAGCCCAGGGAGGGCTCCAGATCCCCAGTTAAGCCCAGGGCGGGCTCCAGTTCCCGAGTATAGCCCACGGAGGGCTCCAGTTCCCGAGTATACAGAGTATAGCCCGTGGAGGGCTCCTGTTCCCGAGTTTAGCCCAGAGAGGGTTCCGGTCCCCGAGTTTAGCCCGGTGAGGGCTCGAGTCCCTGAATCCCCTCCAGAGCCCTTAAGTGGCCGGACCTCCAGAGCGCCCCCCAGAATTCCTAATTTCCCCCAATACATTTTTTTTTGGGGGGGGCATGTGGCCGTGGTGGCCGAGCCGGCTAAGGTCACGGATGGCTCCCTGAGCTCCCTGCTCCACCATGGCTCCCTGAACTGTCTGCTCCGCCATGGCTTCCTGATCTGACCTGGAGGCTCTCCTTGTCTCTGCCCTGTTCCAGTCCTGCACCAGCCTCCAGGGCGCCCGCCCCTCCTCTCCGATGGTACTGTTACGGCACGGGACGCGTCGTCCGGGAGGGGGGCGATCTGTCATGTGTATGTTTCACGTGTACCTTATTTGGTGTTTCCTGTTCCTGTCCTCATTGTGTGAATTCATATCCAGCTGTGTTTGATTAATTAATTAATTTGCTCCTAGGTGTGTCCCATTGGTGTCTGTGTATTTATAGTGTGTTCTGCCCCTTGTTTCCCATTCGCTGTTAAATGTCATTCATAAGTTCCAGTATTTGTATCCGTTTTGTTTACTGAATTAAATTATAGTTTACGTATTCCCCAGCGTCTCCTCGTTCCTCCCTCGTGAAGCGTGACAAATTGTTTCTCAAGCTATTTTCAACATTTACTATTTTCAACACTTTATCGCCGTACAAATCCAGAATGCCAGTGTTTTTCACCCACCACCCATGTAAAAATTAAATTATTCTTATTATTCCAAGCATATGGCATTTTATTTACAGCACACAATCATGCGACTGACCACATGAGCAGTGTGTTCTCAGGTTCATAGGATCACAGAACTAACTCCTCCATCGTGAATAAATTGCCATCCAAATGCATGAGTTTTATCCCTGAGGTGCCATAGAAATTTATTTTTACAGACATCCACATGAGAAACAATTACCATTCAAACAGGACTTATGACTGACATGATAGCGACATGTACAAATAGGTTGCCATTTATATTTAATATCAAATAATTTTACAAAATGCCATCACATTAAATAATATTTTCCTATATAAGTTTTACGAATGTTGAGTCTCTCGTGCTCACCAAGGATGCATTTATTTGTTTAAAAATACAATAATATTGTGAAATATTATTAAAACTTAAAATGACTGCTTTCTAATGTAATTTAATCTGCAATGGCAAAGCTGTATTTTCAGCAGCCATTACACGGGTCTTCAGTGTCTCATGATCTTTCAAAAAATCCTTCTAATATGCTGATTTTGTATTTCTTCTTATCAATGTTAAAAACAGCTGTGCTGCTTACTAATTTTGCACAGACTGCTGTACTTTTTTCAGTTAAAAAAAATAGCAGTTATTCAAAGAATATATATATATATTTTTTTAAACTATGTCAGTGTCTTTACTGTCAGTTTTTATCAATTTACTGCATCCTTGCCGAATAAAAGTATTAATTTCTTAAAAAAAAAAAAAAAACCTGTCCCCAAACCTTTGAACGGTAGTCTATATTTAAGCTTTTAAATCACTAAGTAACATGAAAAACATTTGAGTTTAGCCTTCCAATTCATGTACAAATTCGATTCTACATACAGTATGAATACAGTTTAACCTGACGATTACTGTATGACAGACACCATCAAGTAATTCTGGATAAATATTGGTTCTCTTTAGCAATCCAATGAGATATCATGTTTAAAGTACTTATGTATCTTCCTTTCATGGCAGGATGGAAGTGGTTTCTCTCTCACTATCTGATTCGCTTTCTATCACACACTCACAGCAGGCCTCAGTCGTCAGAGGCTCATCTGAGGGCCAGCTGGAGCAGATTGAAGTGGGGAACTGTGAGCTTGTGAGAGCCTTAATTAAACCTGGCCCTCACTGACACACACACATTTCACACTTTTACAGACACAAACACACTAAGACCAACCCACAGTTTGAATGCCTTTGTAGAACAATGCAGTTCTTTTGAATATGGACAGAATTCTTATGTTCAGTTTTGTAAAAATGTAGGGTGGGGACTTGGTTCTAGTGGAGGCAGATGAACTGAGTTTGCAGGGGCATTGTTTAAGCAGACTACATGATTGGAAAAGTCCTGCATACGTCACCAGAGAGCAGTTCACCAGAAGGTCCAGTTATGATATTTTGATTACTGTTACGAGGTCAAACAATCAGACAACCAACCAACCAAAAAAACATATCTAAACAGCTTTACATATATATTAATATCTTAATCTTCACGTCACATTTAGCATTTAGAGCTGGGTGATAAAACAGTTTTCCTTTTTGATGACGATACAAGCAATCAAACAGTTGAGATTTGTTATATATATTGCCCACAGCAAATATAGGCTACTGTATGTATGTGGATAAAGTTGGACATTCAGTACTTATTTTCAACTTTATATAAAGATCTGGGCGATAATAATAATGCGATAAAAAAAATCAGGCAGTTGAGATATGCTATATAGTATATATCATTTTATGCGACTGTACTGTATAATATATTTATTACACGGCTCTGTTTAATACTTGATTCTGATTGGTCAGTCGCGACATTCTGACAGTACGTTATCCCTTAACAACAGGTAAAAGCTGATAACACAGACTCATCCGGGTAACTGAAGTCGGCGCTATACTCTTGCTAGGAACAGTTTTTCTTTGTGGAAGCTTTGTGTTTGGTTAGCTAATAAAATATTAAAACTCGATTCAATATTATGTGTGCAATTATTTAATTATGTATCGCGGACTCGCTCTCTCG